CTGTTGGAGTTAACACAGTATAAAAGGTATTTCTGTTTGTTAGAGTGAATACAGTATAAAAGGTATTTCTGTTTGTTAGAGTGAATACAGTATAAAAGGTATTTCTGTTTGTTAGAGTTAACACAGTATAGAATATATTTCTAATTGTTGGAGTTAACACAGTATACGAGTTATTTCTAACTGTTGGAGTTAACACAGTATAAAAGGTATTTCTGTTTGTTAGAGTTAACACAGTATAAAAGGTATTTATGTTTGTTAGAGTGAACACAGTATAAAAGGTATTTATGTTTGTTAGAGTTAACACAGTATAAAAGATACTTCTAATTGTTGGTGTTAACAAAGTATACGAGGTCTTTCTAATTGTTGAAGTTAACACAGTATACGAGGTCTTTCTATTTGTTAGAGTTAACACAGTATAAAAGATATTTCTAATTGTTGGAGTTAACACAGTATAAAAGGTATTTCTAATTTTTTGAAGTGAACACAGTATAAAAGGGTATTTCTGTTTGTAAGTTAACACAGTATAAGAATTATTTATAATTGGAGTTAACATAGTATAAAACGTATTTCTAATTGTCGGAGTGAATACACTATACAAGGTCTTTTCAGTTGTTGGACGTAAATTACAGTGCCATTCTTAACCAACTTGCAGCCCTAAAACAGCTCGTGTTGAAACACAACAAACCTTATAACGGGTAAATCATAGGAACTGCATCGTTTTAGCTGTTAATTAAAATGAGAGACGATTAGACTGTTTCTAGCTAAATTCTGGTGCAGGCACAGTTATCAATGTTTCCAGATGTCATTAGTTAATACTAACAATAGACAGAGTACGTTTCCATATATGTAAAACAGATTCATGTGAGAATGACTGCTTAAGGGCCTAGTATCGATCGGAAGGTTTTTAACAGCAAGGTCCGTAAGGATCTCGTATGTTTTTAAAATCTTTTTTTTTCTATCTGTAGGTCAATGCATGACTTTGTTCAGTCATACGAAAATGTAAACCAAAAATCACCACCAATCTTGTAGTTACTGCCACTTAGTGCTGCTGAAGTCCCCTTTGTTTTGTTTGTAAAGAAAATGATCATTTTTACAAAATATTGTGGTCAGTTGTTTACAGTGAATATTATAACAGTCAAAATATTAAATTTCTCAATATATGAACACTACCTGTAGCGAACAGTTGAAAAAAGAAAGTCCTAATTTGACGGTTAAAAACTCTTAACTTGGTGACAAGTAGGTTTCTGGGAGTTTTAGTTAACTTTGCACGAGTTCCTAATCAGACGTATATACCTAATATCACCTTCCTAAGAACGATGCCATGACTCCATCCATGTCCATCAGCTAATGGTAGAAAATTAAAGTTATAGAATTGTGTTGTGTTGTCAGAGAAGGTTACAAAAATATATTACACTGAAACCACGTGGAAAAGTATGTTTACAACGTCTAAAACACAAAACTAAAAGTTGCCAGAGCAACGAGCTATGTGGTTAGTTTTTAATAATGTTTATATATATAAAGACTGTAACAGAACTTTTACAAATAGGTGTTTTATTTTTCTTTCAGGTATGAAAACTACATAAATAATTCAGCTAACTGGAAACTTTAGAAAAAAACGCTTTCTTATAATTTTGCTGCCACTATTTAAATAGCAAGGGAACCCATAGACATTTTGGTCACGTGATTACTTTGTTTAACGTGCTTCATTCTCCAGTACCTACTCACTCCTCTCATGTGCTTTGCTCCCAACCCAGTAACAGTCCCTTAACCTGCTTTTCTATTCATGTGTGGACGATGGAAAATTATATCGTCCAAGACCCGAGGCTGCTGAAGCTGGTTTCTTATTGATTCTCCCCCACCAGTTACCTTTAGGGTATCGATTTTCCCGATCGAAGCTTACCTTTATTAATCTACGTAAAAAAGAAAGAGAAAAAAGTTAAAAAAAACTATGGAAATTGTGGAGAACTCATCAATGTTTTTCAATAGTTTTAAAATACTTTGTTGCTCATTAACACATTGTTCTGTAACAGCAAGAAATAAACCACAGATTAAGAAGGTTTCAAACAACTCATACCGGTTGTTTAGCATTAGCAAACTGAAGCAGACAACAAACATTCTGAACCTGGGTTGTTTAGCATCAACAGACTGAAACAGACAACAAACATTCTGAACCTGGGTTGTTTAGCATCAACAGACTGAAACAGACAACAAACATTCTGAACCTGGATTGTTTAGCATCAATAGACTGAAACAGACAACAAACATTCTGAACCTGGATTGTTTAGCACCAACAGACTGAAACAGACAACAAACATTCTGAACCTGGGTTGTTTAGTATCAACAGACAACAAACATTCTGAACCTGGGTTGTTTAGCATCAAGTAGACAACAAACACAAATAGCCTGAACCTTTCCTATACTTGTGCAACAATAATAAAGTTTTCTGCGTACTTCTAGATTTAATTCAATGTTTATGAGAAAGAAGGAAATGTTTCGATAAAGACACAAGAGAAAGATAAGGATGTAACGAGGTTGACGACCTCTAAAAGAGCTGCACAATAAATCTCCAACAAAGCGACTCGAATCAATAAAACCGAAGGTGGCTGGTAAGAACGTGTGTTAGGCACAGAATAATGAAGGGCGACGGCACCCATCTCCATCCGCCAGAGAGGAAAAGCACTTTGAGATGGTGACGTGATGCCTTTAGGTGACTCTTGTGGTGGTTTTTGAAGTGGTCTGCACACAAACTAACAACTTAAACATTCATAAACAATACTTGTCAGAAACAATATGCACAATAGTATTTTGTATGCACGTACTTTTTAAATATCTTTGTTTACTTTTGGTAGTCAAACACAATTGTTGTTTGTCATTGCTCATAGTTCACTTCTTCTATGTTAAATGACAATATAAATAACGCCTCCTCATTAACCAAAAGGACAGTAGTTAATTAAATTACTAAGCCGTGACTTCCGAGCCTAAACCAAACAAGTGACGTCTACAATACAAACTATAGTACGTGAATAAACATGACGAAATACGCGGTGGTTTGAGAGTTGTGGACAAAAAACGGAAAAAAAAGGCCGGGGATTTGAAAACTGGGCTTAGCAAGTTTTGCATTTAGAAATGTCCCAAACAGCGCGTTCATTTGTTTTGTAGCTGTCGTTGGGGATGGCTACATTGTTTTTTAGCTTTCGCTGGGGATGGCTACGCTGTTCTGTAGCTGTCATTGGGATGGCTACACTGTTCTGTAGCTATCGCTGGGGATGGCTACACTCTTTTGTAGCTATCGCTGAAGATGGCTACATTGTTTTTTAGCTTTCGCTGGGCATGGCTATGCTGTTCTATAGCTGTCATTGGGATGGCTACACTGTTCTGTATATATCGCTTTGGAAGGCTACACTGTTCTGTAGCTATCGCTGGGGATGGCTACACTGTTTTGTAGCTATCGCTGGAGATGGCTACACTGTTCTGCAGATATCGCTTGGGAAGGCTACACTGTTCTGTAGATATCGCTTGGGAAGGCTAAACTCTTCTGTAGCTATCGCTGGGGATGGCTACACTGTTTTGTAGCTATCGTTGGAGATGGCTACACTGAAAGTTTTATTTACAACGTGTGTGATATTTCATTATGGATAAGAAACATATCTTTCTGACGTTTCATTTGACGATGTAATATAGAAATGATCAGACCAGTGTTATTACATTTTCAAGCAAACCATGGGCGTCGGAACAGGGACGGCCAGGCCCTCCCACTTTCAATAAAACAGCCAGAACCCTCTTCACATCTCCCCAAAAATTCAATAGGTTTATGATTTCTCCAACTTAAATTGAGTTTTTGATCCAAAAAAGTGACTCACATAGGCTCAAAATTGAATTTGGCAGCTCGAGGTAAAGATATTAAGGTCACATAAATTGGTCCTTCAATTGCTTGTTTTCATCATTCACTTCGCTTTTTATTTCTTTTAGTTTCTGTTGGTTTCCACTACATCCAATATCTTGGCCCACACTGCATCAAAAAAGAAACAAACTAACACACGAACAGTTAAAAATTTTCCAGGGGTGTACTTTTGATGGGCCTGGCACGGTGTGGTGGTAAGGGACCTCGACTCGAAATCTAGTTACCGAATTTGCTCACCTTTCAGCCGTGAGGATGTTATAATGTGACGATCAATCCCATCTTTCGTTGTTAAAAGAGTAGTCCATGAGTTGGCGAAGAACGGTGTGTGACTACCTGTCTTCCCTATAGCCTATCACTTCTAAATTAGGAACGGTAAGAGCAGATAGTCTTCGGGCAGCCTTGCGCGAAATTCAACAAACAAGCAAACAAAACACTTTAGATAAGTTTGAGTCTTTTTGCATTTACACCCCCTTCTCCATCCCAAGGTAATTCGGCATACTTCAGCAATTAAAACATCAAGAGTTAAGCACTGCGGGCAAAGCCTGAAAGTTTCTGATCAAAATAGTGGAACAAAGTTCACAGTCGGACTCTATGAACGTATTTCGCGAGCAAAAATAAATAGGCTACTCAAACATAGGTTAAAAATGGATTTTTTAAAACTAAGTCTATGAGAGAAATGACTATACGTAGAGAAAAGTTCATAATTAGATTTTAATGTCTGAGATAAATTAGGAACAGCGTGATGACTGCACACAGTGTGCTGTGTACGAGCAAATTTGAAAACCAATGATAAACACTGTACTAACTGTCTGAAAACATTAAGGAAGAATGTAATGACAACACAAAGTTTGTCATGTCCGAACAAATCTAAAAACTACGGAATTGAAAATAGAGCTGTTATTTGTAGAAAGTTTAATCTAAAAATTGTCTACAGTTTACAAATATCATAAGACAACCCTAGGCACAGATTACGTATATCATGGGACAAACTTAACTACAGTTTACGTATATCATAGAAAAAACTAGTCACTTATAAGCATATTATAAATTATCTCAGTGTTACAAAACAATTTTTAAGAGAAAAATAATTTCGTCTTACCTTTGGTTTGCCCTAAAGCCACTGCAAAAATAAAAATATTTCTAACACATTTCCCCCGTTGTTTAGTTACCAGTCAAGAGATGTTGTAAATCTGTAACCACGGTAACGCTGTAGAATAGGAGAAGATGGAAGCTACTAAGGAGTAAGATTGCAGCTTCCTCCACGAGACGCGTGACCTCGCTCTGGCAGTCCCAACATCTAGTGACCACAGTTTGCACGTATACAGTCTTTACTGGTACCACTCAACTTGCGCTCTTGGCGTCGGTAGCCACCCCAAGGTTTAATCCAAACAGACACGCTCACTTGGGGAGGTAGGGGAGAAACGAAGTAGAGGAAAACAAGTGAGTTTCCACACACACAAAAAAAAAAAAAAACTAAAACGTTAGTAACACAGACTTAAGTTTTAAGGTTAAGTAAGTGGTTTTAGTTTTAAATAATTTAGTTCGTTAACGTTAA